TTCGAGGAGATCTACTAACGTTTCGGCGGCAATGTTATAATTATTGTCGTCCAGTATCCCATAAGTGGAACCAGCAATGTGGGCAATATAATTTGGCTAGATGAGAGAAAGTGATTAATTAAATTTATTAATAATCATAAGTGTGACAAAAGAATTTACCTCCGAAGGATGTTCTACAGCATAGTACTGTGATAGGAGGACGCCGTTTGACCGCGTTGTTATTTCCTTGAAATATGGATCGGCGATGGCATCCGTATAGTTTGTATTTTCAAAGACAATTAAAACGATACGGTCAAACCATTTCCCTTTCACAGTATCAGCCGTTACAATAACAGCATTACTAATAAGAAGAATAGTAAGAAGAATAGCAAGCAATTTCAACATTTTTATTTTTTGTAATTATTATTAAAAAAAAATAAAAGTTAAAGATCGTTGAATGATCGAATACTGAATGGATAATATTGGAATTTATAAGTACAAATTCTTAAAGTTTTTTAATTTTATAAGATCCTAAAAGATTGGAATAATGAAGATATTTATAAGATCCTAAAAAGTTGGAATAATGAAGATAATTATAATCATCCATGAATAGTGAGAAATTTTGATTAGATTCTAACTTATTTCGTAAAAATTATTTGAAATTTTATGACGAAAATTCCCACATAAGGTATAATCAAAGGATTATTATTAATAAAATGTTTATTGTTTACGTACGTACGTATGTACGTATGTTATATACTACCAATGTCATCTAAATTGTCATTCTAAAAAAATTCAATAGCTAATTAAATTTTACGGTGAAATACTATTTCTTGATGCTGGATAGCACAATTTTGCAGATTTATCTTATAAAGAAATTGTAATGGTATATGTAATGCAATTGTAATACGTATTCGGACTTATTTTTATCGTTATGCTTACTGCTCTAAAAATATTGTCATCACTATATTTATGTTATTTATGTTACTCTTAAACTAAAGTTAGATCAATAAAAAATTCTCCGCATACCCCAGGAAGCTTTATTCCCAATGAAAATTTATTCTTTTGAATTTATTAGATTAATGAAATTAATGAATGCAAAAAAAGAATTCTATTTAGAATAATTTCTTTGTTTTTAAAAGGATCTCATAATAAGATTATAAATTATTATATAACCAATAACAAAAATCTGTCACATAATTAAACGAAATAGTATGATATTTAAAACTTTATTCTTTGATTCTTTCAAGTTTAACTTAATCTGAAATGTGTAACAAACTTAGATTTTTAATTGTGGGCGCTTTGTGGCATTAAATATAAGTGAATCAAGTTAGTATTGTAATAGGTGTCATTAATCAATTTTATTAATAGCATCATTTGACTATATGTTATGCCAGAATATAATGTTTTCTTAAGATTAGAGATGTGATCCGTTATCCGTTTTCATATTTAAAATTTAACGGATATTCGGATATTGGGATCGCATCTCTGCTTAAGATTCTTACAATAAACTTTGAAATAGGTTTAAAAGGTTTCTTACAATAAAATTTGAAATAGGTTTAAAAAAATACAGAACAAAGATAAACCATTACGGCGAATTTATGATATTAAGCTTTAATTTGGTCACCCAATCCAAATATTTGTCTTCTAAGTTTAATACATACAGTATTTTGTCGATTTATTAATAATTGATTAATAATCGATCAATACTAAGCCTCAAAATAATTTATTGGCCCTCTAAACTATAATGATATCATTTCCAACACAATCTCCCCACTGTCTAACCTATCCTCCCCAACTCACTTGAAAATCATCACGATTACGTTAAAATAAAATCAAATTTGTTATTTGTTATTTACTAGACCCAGCCCTAATCAAAGATATACCAATACAGCGTATGATGCATATCGCTATGTAAATTTAATTATGTCTCTAGCTAGGGCTGAGTCCGATAAATAAACTTGAAAGCGGAGATACTGATTAGTAGTAGAAGTTAGTATTGTATAGTTAGGTAAATTTTTTAATTTTTAACATTTCATAATTCTGCGCAATTGATTCGGTAATAAAAACCTTTTATTAACTTAATTCAAACTTTTTTTTAAGAATGCTAAAAGGCCTTCAACTTGGCTGGTGGAAACGGTCAAGGTTACATGCATTCTCACATTGTAATTAACCATTCAAATCATAGTTTTAAAAGAATAAAAAAAATACAAAACAAAGCAAAATTAATGCTATAAACGAATTTAATTACATATTTTGCCACCAAGTAAGCAAATGTATCTTT